ATCATGCGCTTTCCCTGAGACTGCCTGCAAATTCACTCATGCTGTAGACACGAGAGCACTTTCCCTGGGATGTGCTGTTGCTATCTCCTGCAGTGTCTCGTTTATTCTTGTTCGTGCACATCTCTGGGGTTGTGGATGCTTTGAGGTAGCTCCTTTGAAGCAGAGGCCAATTTCCTGGTGCTTGCAGAAGTGCAAGGCAAGGAGTTTTGGAGCGTGCCTTCTGCAGTGGGAGAGTACGGGATCTCCCGTTCGCATGCTCAGTCCCGTATGTGAGTTCATCTTTAAGCTTCCCTCTACCCTTACTACATTTCAGAAAAATCTAGAGCTCCAGTCCTAACATAACCTGTGGGCTTGAGACCACGTCACTTCCCTTACCAGTTATAAACGAATAGAATCGGTCAGTGTGGTTTTCTGATGACCACATAACTAAGCTTTGGTCAGTCTTTTTCTGAGACTTTGCTGTGTCAGATACCCAGATCAAATTGGGAATAGAAAGCAGCAGGCTTCCCAACTCATGTGTCCAGAAATGTCATTTAAGAGCTTTTACCCTGTACGTGCAGCATGACCAGCTTTTCCAGGCTGCTGCGGAGAAGACTTTCTCCCCTTCGTGTAGGTGTGAGCTCCTCAGAGCAAGTGCCGTGTCTCCACAGGGCAGCACCCAGCAGAGCCTGCACCCATGTGCCAGAATTTGTAGCTGCTGCTGCTGTACAGCAAACTGGGGCAGACAGAAAGGTGAAATAAGTAGTGAGGAGAGTACTTAAATTGGCTGGAGAGACAGGTACGCATCTGTCTAGAAACTGCAGTGGAGCTGTAAGGCACTTGCACAAGGTGTCCATTGTGTTCCTGCCGCCCGTTCTCCCTGGACGCTACGTTTGACACTGGATGCCATAGGTGTCCTGTATCTGGCTGACCTGAAGCTTGAAATGGATTGCTTTTATCTTCCTTCCTCAGAACGAAGTTCTTGACCTTCTTTGCTTTGAAGGCAACATCTTGCCTTTCTGTATTTATCAGCATTGCTTTAGGAACTCTCACCTGCACATCTGCAAGGCTTGCCTTGTCCATCTTACCTGCCTGCCCTTCCAAGGAGTCCATCTGAGGCTTATTGCGAGCGTCTCTCATCAGCCAGGCAGAGGGACCTTTAACGTGAATGCTTTATTGCTGAATGCTGGGGTATGGAGCTTACTTGCGCAGCAAGGTGTAGCTTACGCCTTTTCCTCCAGGCCTGCATTCTGCTTGTGCAACCAAGGCCTTTTCCAAAGTTCTGTTGTGATGCCTTAATCCCGAGCTGCCAAAACAGTCGACCCTTGTCTTTAAAAACAACAAAACAACCCTTAACAGCAAGCCTGCCCTGCAGGAGGAGGGCTGAAATATCTCCATGGCCCTCTGCAAGTGCTCATAAGATGAGCACGGTGAAAAGTGGATGCCTCTCGAAGACTAATGCCTAGGCTCCTTGTACGGTCTTCTCCAGGCGGCTCAGAGTAAAACATAGATTGGTTTCAGCATCAAGTGACTGGCTCCCATGTGGCGATACAGCAATATCCCTCTATTAGCAGGAATAGGTATTGTCTCTCTTAAATAACTCACCGCATCTCTCAATGGAAGGAGAAAGTATCTTAATTTAAACTCTTAATGGCTAACCAAAGCAAGAGGACTCTTTGCTTCGAATAACAAATGCCTGTATGACTGCAAGAATGGGCTCCAATGCCTCCAGTTATTTTCAGTATGCAGAAGCCAACTTCTTCTGGTGTAGCCTTAGCATAAAGACAACCCAGTATGGTCTTGGGAGAAAAGAGATAAAATGCTCCTGAGTTCTCTTCTTTCTTCAAGAAGTATTTAATACTGCGTGCTGTACTGACTTCTTTGCTTCATCTGTCTGCTTTCCTCCCTTGGTATCATCAGACTTCAAGACTTTTGCTGTAGGAAGCCTGATGCAAATCCAGCTGGAGGCAAGAGAAACAGCTTTTTTAACCTAACAAGTCAAAAGCTCAGGAAGAATAAATACAGCAGAGAAAGAGATGCTGGGGTGGGAAAAGCTCTGTTTAAAGTGCAGTGTGATATTTGTACAAGAACGGCTTAATATGAACTGGCTGCGAGCACCTTCACACTGAAAATTAGCAGAAGGATCTCACTGAGTAGAGGAGGGAGACTCTGACCTGAGCTTCCTGTAAGGAGCACAGGGGGAGCTTGAAGCACAAGTTTCCGAAGAGGACTCTGACGGGTGAGCTGTGAGAGCAGGAGGCTGCCCCGGGCAGCCTGGCAGCCCGTACGGGGCTGGCCGAGGACAGGGTGACGCTGCCTGAATAGCCAGCGCTCATGAGAACACTTGGTATGAAAAGTGGTTCAAGTAAGGGACGGACCCCTGGCTTTCCCACACAAACCTTATTGTTTCTCAAGTGCACTGATAAGAATTGAATGTTCTGAAGTAAAGCCTGGAGAGGTTGCAAAGTGGAAAAACAGTCTCCAAATAGGGAGTGGACCTTCTCGGGAATCTTCCTTTCCCCTGCAGCACAGCTTTGCTCAGTCTGGACTGCAGGCTGGTCCCTCCCCAGTGAAAGGACTCTTCCTGAGCACCCCAATTCCTTCCCCGGTTTAGATTCCACACCGTTCCTGGGTACGTAGCCATGTGGCTTTCATGTTTGCAGGAACTTCCTCCGCTTCAAAACATGGAAAGTAAAATAGCTTCACTGTCCTTGATGAGCTGGCTTCAAGTGAGGAGCAGTCCCTTCTTTCAGCCAAGGTGGACCAGCCATGTTTGCCTTGGGATTTGCTGTGAGGATCACAGATCTGCCTTGTTTTCCCTCCCTACCCTGCCTAGCTGATCAGATCCCATCGGGGATGCAAAGAGCTCTTTGGCTCAAGGTGGAGACTGGCGGTGTCCTGGTGTGCCTGGGACCCCCTTCCTTTTTTCTTCTTGCTTCCCTGGGGTTTGAGTTTCCCTTCTGTCACGGATGCTTTCATCATCCCTTCCTCTTCAGGGTCTGTTGGGCCAGCAGATCCTGACTGCTTCAGGGATTCGCTTTGGGGCAAAGAAGGAGCCATCGTGTCTGGGAGAGCAGAGCACTGGGAGGGCAGGGAGAGTGTGCAGGCCACAGCACGGTGACTGCGGGCCCGAGGGAGGGTAGAGGTGGAAACCCAGCAGCATTGCGACCTGTAAAACAAACTCAGGGGGTCTGGAGCTCGCTGTGTTGCAGAAGGATTTTTATATTAATTGTTGTGGCGTTGCGTATGGTGAAAGGCATTTAGTGGTGCTTAAAGGTGCTTCAGAAATCTTTTTATTTTGCTCTTGGACTTCTCTTTGGCTTTTTCTGCTTGGTTATAAGGTCACAATCACATTGACGGCAGAGCTGGCGTGCTGATCTCAACTGGTGCGCGCAGCTGTGGGTCTTCTGGCTGCTGTGAGCTAATGCAAGCTATTCCAAGAGTCATCACTGAGGGGAGAAAGAGGGTTGTGGTGGTGCTTTCTGATCTAGCAAGGAAGAAGCAGTGCCAGTATCATTCCTGACGTTCTCATGTGCCACTGATTTAAACTGTTTCTGGAAACATGGCTTGCCAACTCTTCCCAGACAGTGTGATACAGAAGTTCCTTCATGAATAGTTTCAGACCATCTGTGGGAATCCATAATCAATGTTGACAAATGCTCCCATCTCTACAGCAAAGTTGTAGCCCTAACAGAATAATGAATATTTTGAGTTCTGCTCAGCCAGGTGACTTGAGTAGTTGCTGTTTATCCCGTTCAGGGCTTCTTAGTATGCAGGAAGGTGGTGGCTTTTCTGGCAGCTCAGCAGACTGAGACGTAGCCCTTGCTCTACCTTATGACTTTCTTGGTTGCTGCAAATACCTTACCTGCTGCAGGTCATTCTGGGGTTGTCCAGCTGCTGGAGGAGTCTGCCCTGCCCATGAAAATGTTTCTCAAAAGTTTAGTGATAGGTAAACCCCCGCAGCGTGTTGTGCTATTGGGAAATGCTTAGGCAGCAGGATGTAATTGCCCGAGAGCCAAGGTCCGAGGTGCCAGCTGGAAAGCCGTGACTGAATGTAGCTCCAAAAGAGCAGGCAGGAGAGACAAAGTGTTCTGGTTGCTGTCAACGCTAGATCTTTGTTTATGCTTTAATTCGTCCTGTGGGCCCGAGAAATCCAGTCTGAGGGGGTCTTCCAGGCTTCCTCAGCAACAGCTTTTCTCCATCGGTGGAGAAAGCCAGTGAGTGACGCTTTCCTGGCCACCCTGCCATCTGCCTACACTGAGCTGAAGCCCTTGGCAGTCGTGCGAGCGCTTGCTCCCCCCGGCCATGTTCTTGCGTGCTTGTGCGAGTAACTGGTGATCTGAGAAGCCTTCTTGGAGACGTCTGCTTTGCACTGATGAGTGAGCATGCTGCTTCCCTCTCGCCTTGAGAAGCTTATTGCTCGTAACCCTGCTCTAAACCTGCAGCAAGCAGACAGGGATGATACTTTTTTTTTTTTTTCCCACACCCCCC